AGTTCCAATGCTAAGCATTACGTTGGCGTGATGAGTGACAAATTATGGGAATCTGTGAATCCGTCTCACAAACTTGTGCAAATTGTCCGAGTGAGAAAGGATTTACCGACTGAAACATATCTCAATTCTCTAGCCTCCCTTGTGATTGCGAGCAAAATTTATATTCATCTATCGACGAAAATGCATTTTATGGAAATTTTTAAGCTACTAATGCATCCCGACGTCATTTTGTTATCTATCGTTTTGGAGATGTCAGGCACGGTCACGTTTATGTGTAGGGGTGCTGTGAATATAATAATAGAAAAACTCAAGGAGCTGAACCCACAAGAAGGACGCGCTCTCCAGCCAGCGGCGCTGCAAAGGAACCCTCAAGGGCACCCTACTGAATTTGTTGGATTACCGACAAAGCAAGGTGATCCTCTGGAGAAGAATTTCGCAAGGTACAAGGTGATGTACAAACCAGCGTACCCAACCTTTCCGCTGGTGGACGCCTTTTTCTTCACGGAGTCACCGCGGAGGACACTGGTTGGGCTGCAGATGACTACGGCACATGATCACCACACCAAAACCGGCACTGTGAGGCAGTTCACCGAGTACCTATCGTGGTTCTTTACGAATTGGGGTGAATTTTCTAAAGGATTGTCGTGGGATATTATTTATATCCAACACGCAGACAGCACGCCGATGGAAAACTGGCAGAGATGTGATTACGTCAATCCCAGAAGCCGTGAGGAAAAAAAAATTGTGGAGTTCTGGGACGGAAAGCTACACCAATACCAGTTTGTGTTAACAACTGAATTTGTAAGGAAAATGCGAGAAATGAAAATGTAAAGACTTTGTAGAAGAAAGGATAGGGAAGAAAGTTGAAAAATAATTAGGGAAATTAGCGCATTGAGTTTATAGTGTAATTTCACAGGGACTGTCTTAGCGATTCTTAAATTTTTTTTTGTGGCCGCCGGGTTTATTCAGAGAGCTTCTTGTGAGAGAGAATCATTATGATTTACAGTGCCACAGCAATAGAATTCTTTTATTTTACTATTTTTTTCTTAAGGAGTCCATTGCCATTAGAAGATTCTGCAAAATATGAAGGCTGCAGAATTCCTTTGTATTTTTGGGATTTTGTGCATTGTACATGAACGAATGGAGTGTTAGGCATCGTTCCACACTCACAGTGTGGGATGACGGTGCGGTGTGCGTGTGCCATGTTGTGTGTGGTTGCAGGTTCACTTCTCAATGTGTAAGCGGCGAGGTAGCTCTTTTCCCCGGGTTTTTCGTTCTGTCTGCTGAGATGTTCGGCAATTTCCGTGACTGTGGAAACGAGCTGAAGGAGGTGTTTATGAGACGCTTGTTTACTTTCTTTGCGGTTGTCTGCTGGATTCGTGAACTTTTCCTATGCGGAAAGCCGAATCCTCCCCATTATGAGGCCTAACGCGCTGCAACGCTAAATGCGCGCCAAACATTTCACAGCTGTCTTCCACGCTAATACTTCTGTGATAATTTAGGGATGCGTGCGTCTTTTTTTGACCAGCATCACAACGGCGTTGCGACACGTCATTTGTTGATGGAGCGGAATATGCGAAATGAGAGGGTTAGGGTTAGGGTTAGGGTTAGGGTT